ACTTCACTGAAACTCCATTATCAAAAAAACCTGCAGGAGAATAAAAATATGTATTTCATAGAATCTAAGACTCCATCGACTATAAGACCAATTCTCATTACAGAAGTTTATAAAATATATTTAAGAAGGACAAATGGGATGATAAAGCAGATCCCAAAGTTACAGGTGTTGAGCGTGTAAAAACTGTATTTTAGAAGACCTGTGGTAATATCCACCTTATGGGTCATGTGTCTGCCCTGTGAGGATTAAATACAAGAACGTAGGCCAAGTACTCAGCCCCACATGGAGTAAGTGCTCCGAAGGGCAGAGGCTGCCTTTGTTGCTGCTGTTGTTCATGTTATTTGGAGCTTGTTAACAGAAAGTAACGAAAGGATATACCTGATTCAGGGCATCATAATCTTGCAAAATGACCTCTATGTTTTCTTTCCTATTTCAGGGTAAAACACTAGAAGCCAATGTCCAGGAGATAGGTTCAAAAGTAACGAATGAAGGTTAAGTATAGAATGTGTACAAGACTGAAATATAGGGAAAACAGTCTTATTTATTCTGCTGATAGAACTCTAGATCTGAGAAATGGTTTTCCCAAATCCCAAATGTACAGAGAACCATGTTTTTAAAGGGTATTATTCCAATGGTGAGTTGGAGTACTTATTTGAATTTACAATAGGGGAAAGTCAATTTCCATAATGCTTGCTACCTTTTCTAATGTTTCTCTTTTCTCCTCACCTCTCACAGACTGCTTGTTCTATCACATTCCCTGTGATTTCTGAATTGGTCACCGAGTGACTTCACTGACAAAAACCCTTCTGTGCAGCCTCCTGTGCTTTTAGTTTTTATTTAGGGCTGGGGGGTCAGTGAAGAGATGAAGAGATGCCAAGAGGTGTGAGTCAAACTCTTTGACCTGCCTCCAAAGCAGCTGGTCTCTGGACTGGTCTAGGATTGGGCCTTACACCAAAGAACAGCCATTCATTGTCCTTTGCTGGCAAAGCCAGTGCTGCCAGTAGTACCCTGATGTACAAAACTAATGCTAGAACTCTGGTAAGTGGGAAAATGCTTGGTTCATGCCACTGCCTCTAAAGTAGCCTACTCCTTTTCCCAAAGTTTGAGCTCAATGGCAATTTTAGAGATGTGATGGCTTTAAGTAGAACAGACATGAACATATTCAAAACATAGCCTCTGAGAGACAAAAAGCAACCTAATGGGTTGTAAATGGGACAGGAAAAAATACAATAAAAACTGCTTTTTTACAGATACGAAGACCCTATTATTGGTTAAGGAGATTCTAAATTGGTTATTTCTTCTATTTTGGATTTCTACTTGTTTCAACATGAAGGTTGATGTAAATGGTATATACAGAAGGACAAAAAGGAGTTTGTGACAAGAGTGTGCCTAGTGAGGTTGACTTCCTATAAGAAAAGAAAACAAACAGACATTTCAGCAGATTAATTACACCATGTGAAAACTCGATGGTAGGGCCAGCCCCCATGGTCTGGTAGTTAAGGCGTCCAGATCCCACATGGTGAACCACTCTGAACCTCAGTCCCAGCATCTTGAAAAACACTTTGGGCATGCATGTATATCCACTTCAAATCTTAATGGAATGGAGAAATAGGAGAAGAAATTGTGGTGTGACCACACCCATTGGGGAGGTACTTTCATCCTCTTTCTCTCTCTCTTTCTCTCTCTTTCTGGTGAGAGCACTTTTGGTCATTGTCAGTAACTTCTGGCAATAAGCAACAACAACAAAACGAGATGTTATGTAGTCACTACTGATTGATAGCCTTGAGGGACTTTTAAGAATGAACCCAAGAGGCAGCTCTAGATCATAATAAAAAAGGAAATTAGCAGAGATAGTGGTGACCTGAACTTAAAACATGCGTGCTGGGGACCAGCAGTTAGTGTAATGGCTATGTTGCTAGACTCCCACGCAGTCGACCGTGGTTTGTGTCCTGAACCTGGTGGCTTAAAACTCATGCCGGGCGCATGTGAGTGTGTGCCCAAGATCCCGAGAGGAGAATGGAGGAGAAGGGATTGCGGCAAGACCATCCTCCCTGGGGCGTGATTTCTCACTTTCTGTCTCTCTGTCTCTCTCTGTCTGTCTGGCGAGCGCATGCGCCCTATAGCAAAAACCTCTAAAAAAAAAAAAAAAAAAACCAACAACAACCAAACAAACAAAAACCAACAAACAAAAACATGCGGGCTGGCTGATTTGTAGTTTCCACACACTTTCATTTCTTCTCTGCAGGCCGATTATAGGTGCACTCTTTGGCATCCAATTCCTGCCTCAGGATCCAGGGGCAGGACATGACACAGTTTGGGAGCAGGGCTTTGCCACCATCCCATGGTATGTCTGTGCCATGCTCTGCCTCCAGACTCCTAGATTCACGAAAGGGCTTGATAGGGACTGCAAATTTCACCTGATTTATTTTCTCCTTAGGAAAAATGTAGTCAGTAATGCCGTAAATTTCCTGAAGTCAGTTTTCTTCAGGGTTGCCTTGGAAATTTTAAATACTCTTACAAGTCCCACTTTATACCTCCTTATTCTTAACCTAGTGTCTGAGATGCCATGATGGTGCATTTCTCCTGGTGATCAAGTACAGCTAGGGGCTTATTCAGAGGGTCTGAGTCTCAATGGTACACTCACCTGGGCACAGTTTGAAAGGTGGGGAATCAGGGAACAGGTCTTATGGCTTTATTAGCAACACTGAAATATTAATAGCTACTTTCTCGGTGGCAATGGGGACTTAAATCTCAACATTGCCATGAGCTCTACTTATTTTCTGGAAAAAAACACAAAAGTTTATTTTTGCTGGGCTTCTGCTAGCATGTCAGGCCCCTCTGTATGTGAATTATCCATAGACATCTGCTCTGGGCAGATCCATTATACTCATTCCCACCTCCTGGCCCCTGGCTCTTGGGCAGGCACAACCTACACAGCTAAGGGAAGCCTCCAACTCACCTGATCTTGAGAATGTGGCAAACTAGATCGACCACCATAGGTTGCTGCACCAAAATTATGGAGAACTTACAATTATTTGTAACAACAACCCATTGTACTCCGAGTTTCTGAAAAACGAAGTCAGTCAACACAGATCATTGGTGTCTTCTATCATTGTACTACTTCACTGATGTTGGTGCAGTTGTGCTTTGGTTTACAGACTGATGTATTTGTCAAGAGCAAATATTTCTATTATTTTATTGGGGGAAGCAATTTAGAAAAGGTCTTTCTCTCTTGTCTTTCTAAAAACAAAAACAGACCATTGGGTCAGATACAAATTAGTGCCAGATCCACTGACTCTGCTTCTCTTTTGCTCCTTTCCTCTCCTTCCTTCCAGTGGCCTAAACCAGGTAGGCTACCTCTGCCCTGTGTTCTGGACTGGGCAACCCTGGGCAGGGCATCGGCCTTCCTGACAAATTAGTGCCGGATCCACTGACTCTGCTTCTCTTTTGCTCCTTTCCTCTCCTTCCTTCCAGTGGCCTAAACCAGGCTTCCTCTGCCCTGCGTTCTGGACTGGGCCGCCCTGGGCAGGGCATCAGCCTTCCTGCCTGGAAGTCCTGGCACTGCTGATGGGAACCTGCCTAGAATCAATTTCCTTATTGGTTTGGGTCACTGACCCTTTGCAAATGGGATAAGCTATGGAAATTAGCTCCATAAAATGCACACACTCCTAATCTTCAGGGTTCTTTTTCATGCATTTTTAGGGGGTTTGGGAATCCAGCCCAAGAAAGAGGTTGGTGATTTTTTTTTTGAGTGTACCAGGCTGTCTGATGAAGCTATGGCCCTCCTGTCAGGATAATGATTTTAGGTGCATAAAGTAAATCATAGGCTTTTAAAAGATACCAATTATACTGAAATAGTTATCAAAATTTTAGAACTTTTTATGATATAGAAACATCTATGTCCTTTTATATAAAGGCTTTAAATAACAAGATCTAATGGTGAGTCTAATAACTACTGTAATTTCGAAGTACAGATGAGGATAAAAGGTATCTGACAATGTCTGCCACCCTGTGATGTGACAAGAAAACAAAAACGTCTGTGATTTCCATGGGAGGCAGGTGCTGCCGCTTTACTGGTGTGTGCTACCCACATCCGTCACTGGACAGGGTGCTACATTTCAGGTAGAGGCTAGTGAAGATGTGGGGGCATTCCTCCCATGTAAGATCCTGGGCCTTAGGTTCAGAACTTGAGAAACAGGGATTCTCTTTATGGTTGCTAAAGGTGGCTCAGGGCCTATGACAACCTTAAGGCTATTTACAGTAGCTTCTGTCCTGTCCTCACTTGTGGAGGGAGGAAGCAGGGTACCAAGAGGGACCCAGGAAGCCAGCTGTAAACAGGTACCTGCTGTCTTGAACATAGAGGTGAAGGCACAGGGCTCACTTCTGCGAAGCTGCCCTGAGCCTAGGAGATGTGTGGTTGTCTTTTAGCTTTGAAAAAGATTTACATTTGTCTCCCAACTTAACTCTACCTTTCCAGGGTTGATCTTCTAAATGAGGAAGTCCTGCTTAACAGTCTGCATCCCCTGAAGGCTCAGTGGTTCATTTTTGCTTCTGTCTCTTCCCATTGACCTACTGAGTAGTGCTGAAAATGCACACCTGTACCAAAGACACTAAGCATAAGCTTTGGGAGATGTAAACACGCTTCATAGCACTTCAACATAGGAAACGATGCTACTGTGATTGTGTGGTTATGACCACTTGAGTGAAAAACAAAAACCCCAAAAAACAGGGAAAGCAAGACTTTCTCAGGCCCACATGAGGATGAGAACTCCAAGTTTCAGACAAAACAAAATGCTTTTCCTGATGGGAAGTGGGAGGGATGACAGACTTCCAAGGAAAGGCACCCTTAAAGCAGCTTTCTTGGCAGGAGCTTCCCTGCAACTAGGTTTCCTGGCTATTTGGAGGCACACCATGACCTGATTCTCATGAGGCACACCATGACCTGATTCTCATGAAGAAAAGGGTCTGTGGAAGAGGTTCACAGAGTGTCATTCACTTACCGATTTTACGTCTTGCTTCATTTATACTTTCTCCCAGGGCCTTTGCTTCAGAAAATCTGGAAGGAAAAAAAATAATAAAAATGTAACTTTTTCTGTTTCTCCTATATTACATTTTAAAGGTACTAGATTTCTGAGAGGTCTCTAAAATATTATAACATTTTGCTATAAGACATACAAGAAATTCTGAATAAGTGAATATATTATATTAGATTATATATACTATATAATATATATCACATATATATATTATATATTAGACCTAAAGAAACCTTTGTATTATTTATAGGCATTGTTAATTTTTATTCTATCCAGAATAGAATTTCATTCTCATATTCTCTAATTTATATATTTTTGAAAACATTTATTTATTTTACTTGAAAGAGAGATAGGAAGAGAAAGAGAGAGACATGGACATGGACCCTTGACAGGGCCTCACCATGCCATGATCCTCTCCTTAGCCTGTCAGCCAGGATCACAGGTGCATCTGGAATGCTCATGTTGCCCTAGGATCCAAACCCAGGCCTCTTATGTGGCTTCAGTATTACATAGTGATGCTCTACTGCCTGTACGACCATGGCTAGACCTAATTTATGATTTTTTTATTTCTACAATTACCAGTATTATTTTACAATCCAAGGGTATCAGAATAAAGCATGGCTGTAAGTTTTCTATACTGTGATCTATGAATCATGATGCTAACATCTTATAGCCAAAGAATACATGCTTAATAACATTGTTTTTCTGATTATCAAGTAATGTATCAGAACTCAACAAACTATGGCTGGTCATAAGTCAAATCCAGCACACAGCTTGTTTTAGTAAACAGAGTTTTTCTGGAACACAACCGCACCCAATCACTCATGTATTGTCTGTGGCTGCTTTCATGTTACAACAGCTGAACTGACAGCATCTGCATGGTCCTCAGAGCTGAAAATATTCACTATTTGTCTCTTAATAGAAAAAGTTAACTGACTCCTGTTATGTATTATTCTTAAATCAGGTTTTGAAAAAAATATATATAAAAAGAAAAAAATCCCTGGGGCCAGCAGGTGGTGTGGTGGTCAAGGTACTAGACTCTTATGTGACCAACAGTGGTTTGAGTCCTGGACTCATTGGCTAGAAAATCATGCTGGGTACATGTGTGTGTATGCCCAAGATCCCAAGAAGATAATGGAGAAGTGACTGCAGCATGGTCATCCCCCTGAGGCGTGATTTCTCACTTTCCCTCTCACTATCATCTCTCTCTGGTGAGCACATGTGCCTTATAGCAAAAACCTAAAAAAAAAAAAAAAAAGAAAGAAAAGAAAAAAAATCTCTAATAATCCCTAGTGCCCTATCCAGAAATAAGTACATACACACACAGAGGGAACTTCAAAGAATTCATGGGAAAATGGAATTAAATTGAGGTTGTTTTGGTGCAAATAAATTTTGAAATCCATGCATAGTTTTCTCATAATAGGCATTTTCTATGAACTTTTTTTTTTAAAGAGGTTTTTGCTATAGGGTGCGTGTGCTTGCCAGACAGAGAGAGGCAGAGAGACAGAAAGCGAGAAATCACCCCCGGGGGGATGGCCACGCCACACAGAAAGCGAGAAATCACCCCCAGGGGGGATGGCCACGCCACAATCCCTTCTGCTCCATTCTCCTCTCGTCATCTTGGGCATGCACGTACACACGCCCAGCATGAGTTTAAGCCACCAGGTCCGGGACGTGAACCGTGGTTGACTACATGGGAGTCCAGCGACATAGCCATTATGTTAACTGCTGGTCCCATTTTCTATGAACTTTTTAAAGACACCTTGTATATCCATTGAGTCTTTTTTTCTAGCTAGTTTTTTATATGGTTGAAACCATGCTATACATATAATTTTGTGCCCTGATGTTTTTTTTCTTTTTTCTATATCATCAGAAACTCTTGTCTTTGATGGTTGCATACTGGATCACCAGATGGTTGTGCTAATGCTTAGTTAATGATTCCTCTCTATTTTCTGATGCACACTTATGAGACACTCACTATAAGCCAAACTTTATTGGCTGGTGCTATATGGCCTACATGAGAAACATGTATTGATAGTTCAGACCCTATACATCATGAGCACTTATGGAATATTAATTGCTTTCCCTTCCTCTCCCTGTGCCATGAAATTAAAGAAGCACTAGACAACCTCTGAAACAAAATACAATACTTGGCTTTAGTAAACTATTGTGTTACCTGGGACAACGCTAGTCAAGTTTGACAGGGAAGGGCCTATCCACGAGTAGAAAGCAGTAGGAAAACTTCATCTACAAGGTGGGATTGACTTGGGTTTGGGGATACCTACAAGTTTTTAAAACACATTTCATTATGGAAATTTTCAAATGTACACAAAATAGAATGGTAGAATGAACTTTCACTTGCCCACTAATGTATACCATTAATTGTCCAATTTTATTTTAACTGTGTCTCCTTTTCACATTCTCTCCCCACCTCCTCATCCCCTAAATCTTGCTGGATTCCAGCAAATTATTTCATCCGTAAATACTTCAGTTGCGTGGGATGTGGTTCGAGGAAGTAGGGAGAGGAGGGCATCCCAGGCAGGGGAACAACATAAGCAAAAGCCAGAGTGCCATGACTGCTCTGTGCTTGGTGGAAAAGATGTGTGAATTATGTCACTGCTATTTTCTGAATCTGTCTGCTTGGCCAGGAACTGCAGACAGGAAGTTTCCAGGGAAGGGGACTAAATTTTCTGTCAATGTGAGGCTTCTTGGGGACTCCACCCCTGGCTCCTTATGAAGTCTATTCAAGCTCAATGTAGACTGTGGACGTTCTTTCCTCAGCTAGGGCTTTCTGTCTTCCAGAGTGAAGTGCAGATTCACTTCATACAATTCAAAATAAATTCAGTTCAACCCACATTCACACGAAATGTCAGTCACTGTGCTGGGCTCTGTGGGCTTGCTGGCCTTTGCTGTGGGGCAGGCATCTGAGGTTGGTCCAGGCTGCTCAGATGGAGACTATCTTCATACTCTGAGTCCTGCCAAGGGAGGGACCATTACTGCTTGATCACTGCTGGGTGCTTCCCCAGTACCTAAGGTTAATGAGATTTGACAGGCATGCATTGCTCAATGAATGACTTGCATATTGCTGGTACCATAGAGTTTTGGAAACTTTAGACTCTTTGGAATGAGGACTATCCAAAGCAAGGCTGTACAACTGCTAGACTTCATGTCAATACCAGAGAAAACCAGAGTATAGACAGATAAAAGAAGATGCTAATAAGCAGAAGACGTCATTTATACTGTAGCACTGTCTAGAGAAGCCCTGATGGGTCAGGGACAAAGTCGCCCAGCACTGGTGGTGGTGAGCTGTGTCTGGGAGGGCAGATGGAGCTGGTGAGTGCTGTGGCCAACCCTCCCTAAAGAGCTGCCCTGCACCAGAGCTGGCAGAAGCTGCAGGGGAAGCAGTGAGGGGAGCCACGAACTGTTCCTGGCTCTCTTCTGCAGTCCAGCACAGAGCTAAACAGGGCTTTCCTGCTGGACGGGTGTGGTCGGAGGAGTGTGCCATCTTCATGAGACCATTTTCCCTTCACTATGGAAGTTGTCGCCACTCCAGGCTACCCCACCCACATGTGTTCCTGATCTGCGGTTGTCAGGACAAACTCTGAAAAGCCCAACCCTGGGGAAGAAGAGGACTAGGGGAAGTATAAAGGGAGGTAGGAGAGATAAGAAAGAAAAGAAGGCCAGGAAGGAGGGAGCAAGAAGGTGACCCCCTCAGTTCTGCCATGTTCTTCCTGGCCCAACCTGCACCTCCACAGCCCCCAGCCAGCCAATGTTGCCCTCATTTCTCAATTGCTCCCCTTCCTCCTGGCCCCAGTCTAAGTGCTGCTCACCTAGACTTTATGAGGGAAGCTTCCTGACTCCTGACCTTTTAGAAGAGACTCCTCCCCATTGATGGGATGGTTCATGGAGCCAGCCAGTGTGGCTGGTGGTTGAACCGTGCTGCCTTCCTAGGGCACCCTGCATCCTTGATTGATATTCTAAGCTGCTGCTCATTATTGAGGAGGTCTGGCTTCAGCTGGTCAGAGGTTGCATCTCAGAAAGAGGCAGAAGGCTCTGTGCCTGAGCCACTGAGGGTTTTGTGCCAAAGCATTCCTATCAAAGTGTCACCAGTGGCATGGCTCACTTTGGGGAATGCAGGGTAGCTGGGTACAGTCCCAGTGTGGGTGCCAGCAGCCGTCTGTATTCACCTGCACAGAAAAATCCCTGGGTTTTCAGATGTCTAAAGCAATGGACAGCAAGGACTGGGCTTAACAGGGAGAGTAAATGCAATGCTCTGGCTATTCTTTCATAAGCCTGACCTCCCCACCCGGCGATTCCACTATGCATAGGCAGGCACCATGTGGACACTAGGGAAGCCCTGTCATCAGTTGCCATGCCACCTGGCCCTTCTGTTCCTTTTCGTCTCTCTGACAGCTTTTTCAGCCTCCTTTGCAGACTTGTCTCCTGCAGCTTGTTCCTTGACTGTAGTCAACCCTCAGGACTTTGTCCCAGGCCCTCTCCACACTTTACCTACTTCTCTAGGCATCCCATTCACATCAGTGTATTCTTTGCTATCTGTACTGATAACTGATACTTCTCAAATCTGCATCTCGGCCCCATTTTAGTTCCTGACCCATGAATCAAGCTGCCTGTTTAATGTGCTGTCCATAACTACCATCCACTGTATCCACATAATACCTGATCAACTCCCCTGCTCCTCCTGTTGTTCCTTTTCTGTGTGTCATTATTCACCCTGGACTCAGGCCCATAACCTGCACACTATCCTTTTTCCCTTTGTCCATTAGCCCCTTCACTCATCCTGGAGTCTCAGCCAATTATTGCTGTCGAAAAAGTCATGACATACATTTCTGTTTTTCTATGCAAAAATGTGTCATGACTTTTCAAATGACCCAATATGTCCTCAGTATTTCTCATAGCATTCCTCTTGGCTTCATTCCTCCTCCAACTGCCTTAGAGTGAAGTGCTACATCTCTCTTCCAGATTATTTCCACCACTACTGGGTCCTTTCACTGCATTTATG